GATTGGAGGCCCGAGTCGGATCAGCCGATCGAAAGAGAGAGGTCGGGGTAAATAGCAAGTGTGATGAGGCCACACTAGATTTGCCAGAAAAGGGCACACATTTTTGACGAGTGGAATGTAAACAAGTGGGCATTTGTGATAGGGCGGCAGTGGGAGAAGAGTAGATAGATAGGCCAGGACAGAAAGAGGAGTGATAGTGTAACCGTTTTCGTCAGAACGTTTGTCAAGTGATTGACTTCACTTATCTCTTTGACGAGTTCATAGCTTGGTGCCGACTACGATGCCGGCGAGAATGTATCAAGTCCACTGTGTGATGCTGGGAATCATGACAACTACTATGGCAGACGACTTGGGACTAGGTGCGTTCTAAATAGTCGCCCTGAGAACAAGACCAAGTTGCGACAACAAGGTCAATCCACTTCTAGTGTAGGTTACGTTAGAACCATCTCTGAGCCGACAAGTTGAGTCGCCATTTTCTGGAATGCCCCCACCCCCTCTCCCTCTTTCAATCAATCAATTAAGCACAAGTAGTTCTTACTCAACTTTCTACTACCGCTCCTAACATTGACCATGTTCCCTAATCTATTAATTTCAATGGCTTGGGTCGAATGGGTCTCTTCTTCATGCACTTTCATACAAAATGAAGGTATCTCCAACAATCTTAACTAAGGAGATTAATAGAAACTCAGCCAACTAGTTTTGAGGATCGACAAAAAAAGATAAAGTTGAGATGTATTTACCCTATTTTGTTAAGTTAATGAATGACTGGTAGATGCATTTTACTGAAATAATATGAATTAGTCTCCTGATTTAAGTGAATTTCGCATAGCCATGCTCAAATGGAAACGTTTGCCCCAAATACATAGTGTAGTACTAATTATAATTGTTGTGAATAATTATCATTACATGAAGTATACCACTTCACCCATTATTTTTCATTCATTAAATCACAATTTCGAGATCTGCCAGCTATTAATAAGGAATTTTTATGCATTTGTTAAGTTAACCGATGGGCGGAGGATAGAAAGTCTGGATTTGTTTTTAAGTGCTAGTACAGTGTCAGTGTACACTAACATTTCTATAGACTGAAATATATACACTCAAAAAATAAAACAAAATAAAAATTCAGAGAGTTTTATGGATAAAATATAGAAAGAGATGTCAAGCATGATAAAGACGAATTTATAGATTAACTAGAGATATTTGACCTTCAAGAGTAAATTGTATAAGCAAACGTGGGGTTTGGCCATATGATTGTGTTTTTCCCTAATTTCTATCAAATTAATTCAGGGTTCAATTCGATCGTCACCTAAAGCAAGTTGAACTCTTACCTGCCAAATTATTGTTTGGGTGCATGGATGACTTTGCCGTTTACCAACGCGACAAAGATAATCGAGATAATTTCCATAATTTAATGGAGATAATAGATGGCATGACTAAATTCACAATAGAATTATGAGAAGGTGATAGTCTACCTTTTTCGGAAGTCCTAATTAGTAAAGAAGGCAACCTATTGAATATGCATGTGTATGGGAGGCCTACAAATGTAGGTTTCCTTTTGAAGTCCGATACTATTCTACTCTGTTGTTAAAGTAGGATTATTGAAACCCACCTCTTGCAGATATTTATTAGCGGGTCTAGAATATGAGGAGTTTAAAAAATCCGTTAGTTGATAATGCTTATTCATCCGGATTAATTGACGATTACTTGAAAAAATTATTTTATAGTATGAAGGAGAGCATCCATTTGGGAGAGACAGACGTCTCTACTATTTCACTAGGGTCTTCATTTTATCTCTCGAAAAATATATGCGAATTACTGAAAGCGCAGGGCAAAATAACACTATCAATGCTAAAGCCATGCATAAAAAGCCATTTGCAAGGGTTTTTATTATAAAAAATTAGGAAATGGGGATTTTAAAAGCAAGTATAATTTTGAGGAATATAGAGAACTAGCAGTTTGGCTTAAATGGAAATAAGGCAAGAAAAAGCGGCATAACTGAGTCTCGGCAACAGATTTAAATACAGATTTTAGTATAAAAAGGGGAAATGAATTAACAAGTGACAAGAAATTAGGGTACAAGTTCTCAAAAGGCTGTATGATGCGGATTAAGGCGCTGAAAAGGGCTGGCTTAAAATTGGGGCGCGAAGTAGAGATGGGAAATGCAAATATGTTATCCACCTCCCGCTCAGGGCTAATCTGATTCGAACGACAGTAGGACTAGGCTAAACTGCCCCTCGAAAGCAAACTACTTTGCTCCGCCCTGTTAGCAATACGCTTCATTCCAGAGATGATTTTTCAACTAATTCTGTATTGTAACAAGTTCACCGATTTCGCAAAGGAGTTGAGCGGCCCCATGTCTAGCACTGAGTAGGCGGGATGCTGACAGCTTACGTTCGTATGGCTGAGAGAATGATAGGAAGTTTGGCCCAAACTCCATTAAACTTTCAC